CGACTAACTGTCAAACTCACCCCTTGGCATAGCTTTTCTTCGAAGTTATGACAAAATTCATTTATCATTGTTAAGTAATAAAGGAGAGTCAAAGCTAAAAGTGCAAAGCATGAAAGTGAAATGCAATCAAACAACTTCATGTACATGCATGCAGCAGGCAGTAAGGCTAGGATTACTGCTTGACTACTTAGACCATGTTAGGTGGAATGAGGTTGGAAATCATAACCCGCTAACTGAAAGTTGACTGGTCACAACTCTCCTACATCCAAAAAGAAAGATTAACACAGCCTTGATTGACTTTAAGGCAAATGTCTGTAGGAGTGTGCATGTGTGTGTCTGTTATTGCTACAAAAGTGCAAATGTGAAACACATCAGCAATTCAAATGAAGTAATCAATGTAACTTATCACTGTTTTTCACAACTTGCTTTGACTAATCACTGGAAAGTGATCAACTTCATGTCTTCTAGTCCTTAGTGCTGGCCGAATTCTACTGATCATTTTGCAATGAGGCTTAGCATTGCCAGGCACTTTGATGGGTGTTAGTTGGTTGGAGTTGATCGTCAGGAAGCTCTACTTGAACCAGGTCCCAAGCTTGCTGGTACTTGTCAGTAAGGCGTATCTACAACCTCGAGGGAACTGATGTCCCCCTTGATATTTGAACCTGTATCACCCAGTGTTGTAGTCAGCGACGCAACCACTGAGATATTCTTGCAACGACTGGCCTCCTGTGGAACTGAATTACACGCTTTGACCGATCACCACTCAGGACTACACAACATGAAATTGCTTATCTTCTTGCGACCAATCAATGCATATGATGCAGTCCTACAGGAGGTCAGTCGCAGCCTGAATAGCCCGGCGGTTGCGTCGCTGACTTCAATGCTGGGTGATGTGAGTTTGTAGATACGCCTCGTTGACAAGTGTCGACAGGCACGAAAAAAAGTCGAGTAAGGCTTCCTGCTGATTGCCTCCAATCAGCTAATATCCAGAAAACCTGAGTTGAACAAAGATGAAAGAAAATTGAAGTACCAACAGTTATGCAAAACCCACTGTTCTGGTTCCAAATATTCAATGTAATAAATGTATGTTATATTTTATTTCATCGACATGTGTTGAGCTCAAGAAAGAAAGATGTCGGTAGCTTACGTTCAAGCTTCTTTTTACGTGCATTTAGCAGCTAAGCTACATAATCACGTTACATTAGACGTATAATTAAGCAAGTCAATGGTTGCATTTATCAGCATCACCAAGTATATTAGGAATCTAACAGATAGAATGCTACATACTTGCATATGTGGTTGATATATCCTATGTTCGGTCCACTTCAGGGACGTGAGAATGCGCTGCTGGTGAGTCCTATGACAAGACGAAACGGCTGTCTAGTTATTTCAGGTATTCGGCGGTTTTCTGACTGATATCAGCCTATGATGAATATTATCTTGAGATAGATAAAATCCGCCTAAACCTCAAACTATATAACTTTTAAAGTTCTTTGTCACATTGGACTCACTGTAACCTTCTGAGAATCTTTCTTTCGCATAAGGTTGAAGCCCTTGTATAATCCAGCTGGACGAGTCATATGTGTTAACTGAAGATAAATTTGTACAGTCACTTTCTGTATCTTGGTCACTGACATACTTCAACAATTCACTAAACAGCTTGATACAGGTAACTTATTTTCATTCCTTTATAATCCTACATAATTAGCGTGAACAGCTGACAATCTGAAACAAAAATCACTCCTTCTTCATACTAATTATTATCATATTGACTCCTGAATGAAAAAAATCTTTTCACAGTTACCAAGGTTTTGGTTTATGTTTACTCTGTAGGAGTGTTCAACCCACTTTTTATAATTTTCAATTCTTGCCTAATCAAAAAATTTTCGAAGTGACTGATAATTGTTAACTAACTCATAACTACAAAACTGGTATTTGATTTTTGAGGGGGCCAATCAAGTTGGACATAAGGATAGTTACTCAACAATGGCACTGAATGGAGGCTGCACTACATCGTGAACTGCCAGAAGTAAGAAACGCGGATCACTGGATACCAACCAACCGGGTCGGTGGTTACGTTCTGGGTTAGACCCCTAACAGGTTAGGATCGCTGATGTGCAGTGCTGAGGAGTTCTGTACTAAGACTAAACAGCTGTCGCGTGCTCCTAGGTTTCCAGTGATTCTCCAACTAATATCAGTCTATGATGAATATCAACTTGAACACCGGCACTGCAAATGTTTTCAGTGAAACCTGGTGTAATGAAGAGCGGAGATTCCTTTTTGATCATTTAGATGATAGTCGGAGAAAAAGGTTTAGTGACTTAAACGAAATCGAGACACGCCTCACATTCCAGTCTCGCGGATGGGTCGACAGAGCGCCAAAACAATAATGTGGTTGGGTTTGCTTCCAGTCTTACGTTGTTTTAAGTATCAGTCTGCAACCAATGGCTATCAGGCAGGCAGATTAGCCCCATATTAGTGTAGAGTAATAAAAGAGAATTAGTTTTTTAGTTTCAAGGTTTGTGGGGATTTAATTACTTTCTAAGTGGTATTCATTATCCACTGACATCAGTTAGGTAAATGAGAATTCCCAATCTTTTGAGAATGCCAATGATTGTTAGTTGAATTCAGTTATGAATGGGAAGAATTAGAACATGAAGCCATGAAAAATCACTTTCAGTTTATTAACACATCAATCAAATTTTCCATTGTAAGCAAAACGACTCCAGTTGAATAACTGCACGCTATCTAATTAAATCAAGGTAACATATCACGGTATATTTTAAATCCAATCCAACAACTACGGAATATAGCATTATAAATGAAACGGATACAGTTAGGTGAAACCTAACTGGGAAACCTAAATGTTATTTCCTGATGTAATCAAGATATCCAGATCGTAGTGTATGATCTGCTTAACCTCTCAGGTAGTTTCACGGTTCTCAAACTGTACTACATAATAGTAAATGATATAAATAATTGTAATCCACCCAAAGCAATCAACAGTGCTCACTAACTGGATGAATACAGGTGTAAAGATAGCAAACCGTTTCCATTCTGGATAGACTACCAATGATCTCACTAAATAAGATGAATAAAACAGCATCTTGTCCTTAAATCCTTTTTATATGACTGTTCAGAAGTCGTGGGTAGAGTGAATAGTTTGTGGAATGCAGAATCGTTCAGAAGTGTATGCATTAAATTTCAATCTCCAGATTTATTTACATTTAGGTTTATATCAAAAATTGCTTTCACTATCTACAATTGTTCAACTCAATAACAGTGTAAATTGGGATTACACCAGTCTTTGAAAAAGAGGATAATAGCCAACAAAGTAGTCGCCTTCTTTAGTTACTATTCGCTTAAAAGCATAAGCTAAGTAAAAAGGAACGAAATTGAATGACTGGTAGTAATATTAATTTCGTTTGTTCGCTCCCTCATATTGAAGTGTTCAAATGACTGATCAAGATCTCCTCCGCTTTTGTCATCATGGTCATAGTCATTAGGAGTTACCTAAATGATCAAGTGTTGTCTAGCATTAAACCAAAACATGGGTGACGGCAAGAATCAATTCGTAGGCATATAAATTTTAATCAGTTTAAAATAAAATTTATCATCGACATCAGTTAGAGGACTGTTTAAAACCTCATCGCATTGGACAGGTGTTTCGCTGCAGTATGAAGTTCGTCAACAGTACGCACTCATGATCCCTTCAGAGAACTAACCGGGAACTTTAAGTTAAGTTATAGAAAGATTAGTCTGATACTAAGTGTTCAACTTATGATAAACCGATAACAGTCGAGTGGATTTCGTTTCAGCATACTGTGATGCGTCTTGTATTCAAAATGCCAAGCATTATTGCAAAAAGAAATGTGGAGATTACCAATTCATCAAGTACTCCTTCAATATAGTTTTGAAATATCTCTCGGATTAATATGTCAGCTGCATTCAACTGTTTCAAATATTTTAGCGAATTTATTAGGTCAACGTACACCCACTTCTATGTTGCCGTTTAAGTATAGTGAATCCCACCCAGCAACCTTGTGTACATTCATACAGTAAGTAGTGAGCCACACCTGTTGTGTGAAGGATAATAATACTACCTGGCTGCTTGAAGCTCAGTAGGTGGAGTAGAGCTGGAACCCACCAGCCCACTGGCTGAAAATCAACTCTTCAAACCAGCGAGCTATAGCTCCATGTATTTAAGTATAGTTAACAGTTTCCGTGGTTAATTTTCATTATAGTTTTATTGCTTTACTGGCTTGATTGCTTTCTCTTGGGTTAAGCTTTCACCTCCTCATATTCGGATTAGCTTTGCAATAAAATGTGTTACGAAAACAATCCCTACTCGAAATACTTTACTGTCTACAAACGATCACTGTCTACTGATTTATGAGTTGAAAGTGATTTTATCAAGGACACGTTTACACAAACAGACAGATAAAATATTACAGCTTCTCGTTAGTTTTCAACAAAACTTCTCCTTAATTTTATAGACAATAAATCAATAGTAGAGCAGATCAGAATACTCAACAGTTTCTGTTGCTAAGTCTGTGAATTCCCCGACAGAAGTGTTCTTCAAGCCCAATAGACTGAAAGTAAACTGCATCATTGTTTTTGGATAAATCACTACGCATTTCTAATTGATGTGATCGGGTGATGGGGTTGCTCGCATGGGTATAATGAATACTGAGATTCAATAGACACCTCAACCAAATACCTTTACGACTGACCTCCCTCAGTACCTTCTGCTTCACTGAGCCGCAAAGACGGCCTGTGACTGCAAGAACAGCGACAACCTTTATTAGGCAGATACATGACATATATGTATTTACAAAACTCCCAGAAAGTGAAGCCATAAGTGAACCAATCCGATTTCTTGTATGAGATCGAACTTCTCCAATCAGGTTCTCATGTCAGCGCATGCATAAATCATGACCTGAACATGAAATGATCATGACTTAAAAACTAATCCCTTACTAACTGCCTTTTATCGCTAGGTCTCACCAACCATAACGAAAAGTAGACCGCTTTGTATCTTTTCAAAGAATGATTTGATGTCATCGGTTAACATCAGAGAAGAATCCAGTACACATATAACTCCGACTTTTTTGTGCCAAATCAGACATTCACAATATACAGAATGACGGTAAGTGGAAGTTTTCTTTTGTCTGTTAATTTAATAGGTCATTTTATCCTTGAGTACACTGTTTGTAAGTTTCATCATTATCCAGATAATTTACAGACGCTGCTGAATCAAACAGAAAAACATTATCAGAATGAGACTTGAAATTACGAAGTAGCTTTCTTCATTACCACACCCCACTTAAACCACTCAAAGTAGAAGACAACAACAAAAAAGACAAAACAGAGATAATAATTAGTAAACGTCGCAGAGCACAGCAAAACACACTGAAAGGGCACTGAAGCAGGTACCGGCATGTGATGTCGTGATGAAGATGGGAAGTTTATGCGCTAAATAATAAGCACTTTGAAGTGTGATATATGACTTACTACAAAAAAGGCATATTTCCAGACTGTGACGTCCCAGTGTGTAACAGTCTACTAGTTTACCCCTTTTTAAGAAGATTAAAACAAACATCATAATGGGTGGTAATTTTTTAAATCCAGAGAATTCCATTAAATTACCGTTTGCCAGGCGCTTGAAGTGAACCACCAAAAAGTCTTGATTGACACGAGTTTCACCCCAGTAGTCATTCTTCAACAAGATGTTTCTGTTTTCCTAAAGAAAGACACTGCTACCAAACAACTTGAGTAACTGAAAACGATTCAGGTTGGTTTGTAGATTTGGCCAGCTAGGCCAGGATGTTCTAGACAACATGCATCTGTTTCACTCGTTTGGCACCAAGCTGGTCACCGATGTACCCAGACAAATTCAGTTCACAGGGCTAAATTACTTCAGATCCGCTGAATCTCGCTAGCTGAATTTTTAAAAAGTAATTTTCCCCTTAGACATTTGAATGTTTATCATACAGTGAAGTTAAAGACTTCATAAATTGGTCGTTCACTACATCATCTGTTAGGAGTCGATAGGAAATTTTTTTAATAACGAGTAAAATCAGATTAGCATCAATGAGTTTCTGACATCATAGTCTGTTACAGTTTTCTCAAGTGATCACAATGGAAACTGATTTCCTCAATCTTAAAAATGTTTATTTAGTGATGATACATAAATAAAGAAAATGGTAGAGTAAAGAAATACCCCAACCTAGAGGACTTCTTTGGAAGTCGAGTATGAAATCGACTTACATAAAGCATGACTGGTGAATAAAAATGTCCTCAGACAGAACCTACATCATTACTTAAGATCAACAGATTAACGCTGAATAAATACGAACATTTATACAACATAATTTGTTCAACTGTCACTCTTTAAACAGGCCTGAGTTACAAATAACACAAAGCGTTATGCTTTTGTATTCATACAGTTGGTTATTTTAAAACATCAATCATGTATTTGTATAAAATGATCAAATGAGAGAACCTAAGTTGACAAATTTACCCATTTTTACACAATAATGATAACTGAAGCTGAAAATCAAACTTAGTGGAGACGGAAATCAAGTCGTATATGCAAAGAATTGCTTTTACACTAAATTTGTATCTCAGTATGGAAATTAGGATTGAATGGTACCAATCCACTGTTCATTACAGTGGTCCCAAAGAAGGTGTTTAACCTTTTTTGCCCAACGGTTGCAGATTTATTTGTACTAGTGTTTTTTTCCATATGCATATTTTACTTTATCGGTATCATTTGCTGCAGTAAATTCACTTATTTGTTCACACTACTGATTTTATATATAAGTAGTATGCCTAAGTATTGGCATTTGGAGGAAAAATTTTATAAAGTATTTGAAATTTGAGATGAGCCTCTTAAACCAGCTTAACTATTGGTTATCATTGCAGTCTTATATTAATGGTCATACATCCGTTCACTGTTTCGAAATAACACAAGCGTTACATCTTCTTTGAAAAAAATAGTAACTTCAATTCGATTTCGCTTTTCCGTGTCATATCAATAGATTGAATATATAAATGTTTATTTTGCCTTTACGCATGTAGGTAAGCAGACATACAAGCAAGCAGTATATGAAGATTGCTTGGAAAGTTATCATCTGTATATATCCCGTCTTTTTTCGCTAACCTCTCTCACTCACACTATCAGCCGAGTGATATGAGATGCGTCCCATAAATCCATTCAACTGAAATCCCTGCATAAATCAAAATTTCTGCATAATAGCTGAAACACTTCTCCACAAATTTCTGATAAGAGTTGACGAATCAAATGTTCAAATAAATATCCTAGGTGGGTAACTTAACTAGCCCAAAATAAGAGTGAATTCTTTGTTATAATTTTTTACTGACTGATTGCTGGCAAAATTGAACACCATAATGAAGAACTTGCGTGACTTGTGAAGAACTGTTTAATTTATAGACAACTTCTATCAGAAAATAAGCCAACTTAAAGAATCTCTGGAAAACAGAAAGTTCGCAGCGCTGCTTCATTTTATTGTCAAACTATCAAGCAGCTGATATTCTCAACCATAATAATAATAAGGGCTTTATTCTGAAAGCTATTTCAAGAATACTCTACAGAATTTTCAGTATGATATATAACACCAGTTGGACAGAGACAGTGTACATATATACACAGCAAAATGAAATAACTAGAAACTACATATAAAAGACAAGAATATTTACTTCATCTACAACTTTCTCGAAAATACTCAGTTAATTTAGGTAGACAAACATAAGAGGAATTGAACTCATAATACATATGTAGTAACATGCAATGAACTCATCAGTTAGTTTGCTTGCAAAAACATAGATTGACTAGTTAGTTCATTTGTAATACTTTCCTCCTTGCACAGGATACCAGCTAATTACGTAAAGTATTATAGAGTTTTGATATTTTGCAGTACGTGCTTGAAGTCTTACGTACTTGCTCCTCGTCTTTCCAGATGGCCGACACTCAGAGGGCTTTGAGTGAAGAGGATGCCGGTCATCTGATAAAATGACGTCTGTCAGACGTTTACATGATTAAGTGCTTGTTCGCATCTGTTTTAACTAGAAGGTTTAGAGGCACATCAACAGTCCTGATGACATTCTCCAAAGTTCTCTGTGGTATACTAGAATCTTTTTTCAGCAAGCCGGGAAAAGAAAAAAGAAGAACAGGCAATATGCAGGAGTTTATAAAACACAAGAGAGACTGAGTAATACCAGATGCTCTCAGCTTCCTAAAATAAAAAGTTAGGTGGAAAATTCTTTTGGAAATTAGTAAGCTATGGGAGGACCAAGATAGGTACGAAGAGAAACACACATCGAGATAAATCACACTTGTAACATTCTCTAGTGCACAACCATCAATAGAACAGGAATCATAAGTTATGTTCACGTTTAAAACCAAAGTTTATAGTCTGACATTTTGAAGAATTGAGCATAAGACCATTCACGGAGGACCATGATCTAAGAGGAAATAGAAAATCACTCAATTGGGAACAATCTGTTGAAGAGCAGATAGGTATGAAAACTGTTAGGTCATCAGCACGTTTGATGAAATTGATACTAGCTGAAGATGGTAAGTCATGCAGAAAGAAACAGAAAAGACCGAGGTAAAAGGACGGCTTCTTGGGGAACACCAATCACAATAAGCAATGAGGTGAAGCGCTTCCCTCTGTGAAAAGTATGTTGTTTCCTTCCAGAGAAATAGGACTGAAGCCAGCTGATTATTCAGGACTCATTATTTGTCCCGGTTAACTTTTCCAGCAAAAGAGGTACTGGGACAGAATCAAATGCCAAAGTTTAGTCTAAAAAGGCACACCTGACATACTTGTCATTTCTATCAAGATTACAAGCAGTGTTGTGATGTAAGGCAGTGAGGGCATATACTCGAATAAAGCCAAGATTATCGGCTATAAACTTTTGCCTCAAATTCGATAACCATCAGTTAATGTGCAATATAGTGTCAATATTATCGATTGTCATAACAGGAGGTCAGTCTTTATTTCCAACTTGACTGTGTGTGTGTGTGTGTGTGTGTGTGTGTGTGTGTGTGTGTGTGTGTGTGTGTGTGTGGCTATGGTATAAAGTGATTAAGCTAGACGCTGTGAACTGTCTATTTGGGTAAAAGTGACTAAACACTAGCATCCTCACTACAAAATCGTGTATTCCTGGTCTTCATTTTTTAGTGGTTCCTAAGTCCAAGCTGCTGATAAGTCCCAAACTAGAGTAAGACGGGAAATTACAAGTATACCTGCAAATAGTAATAACTAATACCCATCGCAAAAGTGGTGATCCTCGTACCCTAATGGCCTAGTGGATAACGTCTCGGCATTCGAAGCTATAGGTATGAGGTATGAGTGTTAGTGGGAACAGTATCACCCACTGGGATGTAGGCACATTCAGCTGACGAGTCCCGAATAGGGCGAAACGCGCATCCCAGATTCCAATGTTAGCTACAGTCAAGTAAAATAGAATGAAACCGCTAAGTAGATCCCTTTCCCCCATCAATGCTTCTCTGACTATTGTCAATCAGTGAAGGGAACTATCAACAACTGGTGATAAAAAAAGCTAAGTTAACTGACTTTCACAGGGGATGAATTTGACTGAGGTTTGTATGTTCGAGAGATAATCGGTTATGTATTCTAAATTATTAATATTAAAGAATGACATTTGGGTTTGAATTCAGTCACTGGAATGGGTAACCAGGCACTGGGGATTATTATTATTATTATTATTATTATTATTATTATTATTATCATTTGTCCCTTGGGTTCCTAATAGAACATAGGGATCCAGTAGCACGTCTCTCTCTTCTCTGAGATCTTTTCAACCTGGTTCCACGACAGCCCACAAGCTCTCATTTCCTCCTCGCACGATCTCCTCCATGTCACCCTCGGCACCAACGTCCAACTCGTCACTTCCCATGGGGATTCCACTCGAGTACCTGGCCTGACGCGTGATGTCCTCAGTCGGCCTTCTCAGTGTATGCCCAATCCATCTCCACTTCCTTCCAGTGCATATTTGTTGGGTGACAGGTTCTTAGTTGGTTCGTTCCCAGAGCTCCTTGTTGCTTATTCTGATTATCCTGGCCATCTGATCTTCAGTAGCGAGCGAAAGCAGTTGTTG